GACGCTGCAGGGCCGGATTAGCCGCATGGGCGTCTGCCTCGTACAGTAAGGACTGGATCGCCAGGGACAGCATGATGGGGAAAGGTGACCGGGGGTGGAATTGTTTCAGGCTTCCTTTCCACCGACGGCATTTGACCTATATAACCGCTGTGTCCTTCCACCCCCTGGGGTTGGTCCTAGCAGGCAGCGTGGCCAGGAGCCCTCACCCGCTCTAAGTCCAATTAGGAACGTCGCGTCAAGTGTCGATCGAGGGTACCGTGGATTCGACGGATTTTACGGAAACGACTCAGTGCAATTACCGGGGCGGGTTCGGGCATGTGCCGAAAGGAGTTATCATCTTCCGTGACGACTGGGGGGTCCCATCTCCACCTGGGAGGTTTTGGGAGCGAGCTTGGCTCCTTTAGCTGTCCATCTGAACCTCCGCAGCGAACGGCGTCTCTCTAGTCTCAACCAAGCTTTATAAGAGGGCAATAGTCCCCCTGGAGACGGCTCAGAATGCGACCTCCATGCGATGGTCCCAATGGTTCTAGCGCTAGAGGAAAACCCTAGAAACGCCACCGAAGCTTGTTATTGGCATGAAAATCCCTATCGGCCGGTTGACAATCACTACTGCTGCTTGCTGGGACCTCGGGTTGGGGCTACTGGACCATCGTGAGCTATGTCGAGGGCATCAGACAACTACAAGTGGTGATGGTTTCGATTTCTCGGCATCAGAATCACTCGCTGCCTTAGAAAAAAGACGCTATCTCAGTAGCTGTCTTGGCAAAGGCTCAGGGTTCACGTCGCTCCGTACTTTTTGCCTTTTTGACTTTTTCTCATTTATTTTCTTTGTTCGTTGACCTTGTCTAGTGTGTGGGCTTATGCAAAATAAGACCAGAATAATATAGAATAATAGTAATCCTCCTGCCAGGCCCACGTGGGGCGACCAACGCCAGTCGGAAGCCGGCAAGCGAGTCAGAAAGTGGCTCCGGGTTTCATCCTCGGCCATGGAAGAAAATGCGAGAAACCCAGCTGGGACGGAGTACGGAGTACTTTTTTACTTTTGCTACTTTTTACTTCATGGGTCGGGTATCCCCGGACCTGTCCCTGGTTCCAGACTTTTTTTTTGTTTTTTTTTTCATCGCGTCTTGCTTGGTTCCTTGTGTTGATCCTCGTATCGGGCCAGGAGTTGAATAAGAATAACATTGACAAGAAACTCTGTTGAAAATGTCGGAAAGCTACGTTGCCCGTGTTGCGCTTGGCTGTGGTGGCGATAAACGGGCGCAGGTAGAAAAATCTCCGCCTCCGGCCACGTTTATGAGTGGCACTCAAGGTGGCACTTGTTGTGCGCTATCGCAGGCACCAACGATGATGGTTTCTAAATAGCTCCTGTGCTCGTTGATCTACAAATTGCGATCCTGTCCTTATCGCAACCACTATCGGGTTGGGTCGGTCCATGGTGCGGAGTCCCGGTAAGAGAAAAAGGGATGATTAGGGTGATCACCTCGCGACGCGCCACGGTTAGAAGGCGGGAGGATAAAGAAGCTTCGAACCTTTGGAAGCACGGTCTGCCTTCGGCTTGCCTCTTTGAGAAGGAGGATCAATCTAAGCTGGTGGAGATTGGATCTCCAGGGGGGTGGATGGCAGAGTCAGACACGGCCCTGGATCCATGGTTACGGATTCCGCGGGCCGGACGAGATACGGAGGACTTGCCGTATGCCGTAGATTCGTGGAAAACACGATGATCCTTTTCTGTGCGTCAGGTGTGCGTCCTTTTTAGTCCTTCTAAAATCTTCGCTAGTTCTGAGTCTGTTCACGGTGACACTGTTCTTCAGCCCTATCACTCGTGGAGCGCGCAGCTGGAAAAGAAAACCGCGCAGTGACATCCACCTGGTCCCATTGTAATGGTCCAACACTCCTCTCTCGACAAATGGTATCTTTGGCATTGGCTGCAATCTGTGTGGACGCTACTCGGCTAATTGCATGTCCTGTGTAATGAGTTCAGTAGTATAACTTGATTGGGTGTGCCGAGTCAGTGTCCTATAGAGATGGCGCGGCACAGCGAAGAGATTTAGACTCTCGTCTGAGATTCCCGAACCGACGCGAGGCGGGGGTGGTCATGAGAGTTTGGAAAAAAGCACAGAAATTGTACCAGAGCTCAATAGCCTTTTCTGTTTCCCCAATGCCTTTGTTCGAATGACTGGCAGGCAGTGGAGTGAAATTCTTGCGTGACTAGTACTATGGTGGCGTTCTTTAGGCTGGCCAGTTGAGAGACAAGTTACAACATCGGGGGTCACCTCCCTTTCGGAATGTCGCCCCGCCTTGCCTATGAAAGATCGCCTCAATTACCAAGTCCTTGGGAGGCCTGGGGGATCCTATCACATGTGCTCTATTGCCGTCGACCACCCCTTATGCGTAGTACTAGTCCCTGGGGTACTGGTTAGTGTCCCTCCCAGGCAGAAATTTGGGAGGCGGCGTCCCGAGTAATTGGTTGGGACTTCTTCCACCATGGCAACAAGAGCCTAGGTATAATTGCCGAAACAAAGCCAAAGAAAGCATAAGGGCCACCCCCGTCGACATCTATGAATAGCTCCATCCTACGCCTCGTGCTCAAAGTCCAGGGAGCTCAGGGGCTCATTTAGTCAGCGGGTTCGTATTTCCCCTCACGCCTCCTCATTTCCCCTCACCTCCCCTCTTATGCCAAGAGCAAAACATTCGGTGGGAACGGCAGGATTCAATATATTTGATCCTTTTCATACCCTTATTTCGACCGTTGAATGCATCGCGTGGTGCACGAGCCCTTCGTGCGCAAGCTAGGCAGGCCTACTGGCAATTCGATTGCTGCCTTCAGACCGTCGACGCATCAAATAAATTAGCGAACGTTGGACTAAATAACATGCCATGAGGGGGTTTGGCCCTGTTGGCTCGTGCTCGTTCCCGAGCTAGGCGTGCTGGAGACTGGAGTGTAGTGCGATTGATTTGACAATGCAAATCACATCTCGCACTGGCAGAACTGGGATGACGCGTCTGAGTCAATCCAAGCAAAAGGCGCACATTGGCACTGCTTGGCCAGTTTTCCTCTCCCCGGGTTTTTTCTTCGCACTGGCAGCGAGAACTGAAAATCCTTAATCGTTCGCAGCATCGCCAAGACTAGCAAACATACTTGCTTCCGGATAATGCTCAACATTCATCCCAATATCCCATTGACTAATCGGAAACTCAATGTGCCATCTTCGCAAGTCTTCCGGAATCGTTGCTACTAGCTACAATCAGAAGGTGTTGATTGTGTATGGGTGGTTTAGCTGGCTAGTGCATATATGTGCGCTAACTGTTCCCTGGAAATTAGCTCATTTCTGGCTATGCTCGCAGTTTTTGTCCACATTGATCCTCGATCCTCACCTCGATGTGTACACTCAAAATTCGGCCAAGCCAGAAGAACGATACGGTGATGATCCGACCGAGTGGGTTTCATGAACTACTCTTCATAACTGTGCCGGCGCCTGCCTAGGGGTGGAGTAGCAAAGAGAGGGAAACTCTCCTGTTCCTGGCCCCTTTACCCCTTTAGTCTCTTCTGTGCTGTCGATCATGAGTATTATGCTCTATTTCTACTGACAACTAAGGATGATGTGATTTACAGTGTATTCTCCTTCTGTCATCGTCAACCGGCCTGCACAGCAAATCTCTTCGGCAACCCACTATCCCCCTTGTGAGTTTCCCAAAAGGGTATACAATCACTGTTTTACGGCGCATCCTGCAGCGGGGACAGTCTATCTCCGCTCGGTATCAATGCTGTCCGGTCCCATGCTTGCTATGTTATCTCTGGGTGCATTAATGGGAAATTTTTGGGTTACGTAGGAGATCGTGCTCGGTCGCGAGTAGCCGGTACTATTGCTGTGTATCTGATAGTTTCTTGTAGGGTTGCATTCGATAGATTTCCACTGCATAACAGTCTGTACTCGCGCATACCTACTACTAGTGCCGCCGCAATTATGTGTCGGACAGGGCTGAATAGTAGAATGATCGCTTAAGTTGATGAAGGCATTCAGTTGGGGCTGGGGTTTGCTACTGGTACCAGAAGGCATACCAAGAAGGACTTCCGAAATATATACATTCGGTTCATGCAGTTCAATGACCTGGTCATTCAATCATCGAACCATTACATACTAGACTGTCAATCATTGAGATCGACGCTATGATGTCTCACAATATGCACATATTATTTCGTAATAGGACTCGCACCTCGTAGCATCAGACATCATCTCTAGCATGTGAATGCGACAAGCTGAAACTTAAACCTCCCTCTGTGTAGTGGATAGTGGAAGAGCTCCTATAGCCAAAGGAGCCAACCTATTTCAAGCAACAGGCAAGATGGCCGAGCGGTCTAAGGCGCTAGGGTCAGGCTATCTGATCACACATGTTCTTCGGAGCATTCCTAGTCTCGAAAGGGGCGTGGGTTCGAATCCCACTCTTGTCATATCTTTTTGCATTTTTTTTCCCGCTACATCCGATACGACTACCTCAACTGATACAAAAGAAAACGATGCAATGATTTAATTTCTTTTTTACAATCCGGATTAGAGAGTTCCTCCACCCAACCGCTAGCATCGTCACCTCCCACTCTACCATCACGGATCGCTCCAGTTCTCCCGCTCATAAGAATTCCAACAATTGTCCCCAGACAATCTATAGCGTAAACCAGTCTGGACATCTAACCCTACAGATATCAACAAAACCTGCAAGTAAATCAATTCCAATGAATCAAAAGCATCCGAGCTCAGCCGCCGGAATCATCTTCCCAACCCACAACCACCCAAACCTTACACACTGCTCACCAAAGCTAAACACAGTCTGGCCAAACCTACATCCCACCGCAGTCATGGTTGTGTCATCGTGGCGACCGTCCGGATTCGAATATAAGAGGACCTAAACAGCAAGTATTATCTCCCAACAGCAACAGCCATTATTGGTGGTCACTAGGTACATACTGCATACATCATCATCTAACTTCCAAACCAACAACCATGCCGAACCCAAGTCTAAGTTACGGAAATGGCATGTCATCCGGAGCCAAGTGAGCCGCACTCTATCCCTTCACCTACACCATCGTATACTAATGATATCCAATGGTTGATAGGTCCCGGAATACCGCCTTCCTAACCATGTTCGCGGTTATCTCCGGCGCCTTGCTCACATTCCGGATGCAGTCGCCACGCAAGGAGCAGAGATACTCTCCCGAGGGAGACCAGCAGGCTATTGATGGGGAGAATAAACTTGGGCGCTCGATGTTCGTCTCTGACGGGGATCGGGACGCTGTTAGGGGTGGGAAGCCTGGAGAACCGAAGGTTGGTCGTGCGCCGCATGAGGGGTTGGGTGGGCGGTGATGATTTTACATGAATGTGTGGGTTGCGTGAGGGGAGGTATCGTGCATGGGCATATTGCATAACGTTGCTTTGTTGCTTCGTTGGGGTTGAAAAGTAGGGCATGTGGAATAGGTCTGGTACCTTGTACTTGTACATTGTGTTTGTTTTGGTGATGCATAGAGAATTTATTTTCTTGGATTTATTGAACGCAGGTTCATTATGCTATGCTGGCTATGCGGGACTCATTGGAAGGTTCTCTGCTAGGATTTCTGCTCCGTGGCATCCTCCTTCAGCACCCGGGCTGATACCAGTGGACTCTCGTCCAGGATCCGCGTGAAGTCATGAGCGTCGACACAGGCCTGACGCGAGTTGAGCACGCTGGGCTCTGCGCGCCTGAAGACGTCATTCTCGTAGACGTCCAATGCATCTCGCAGTGCTTGTGTCGACATGGATCTGTTTGGACGATGAGTTAGTATCTAGTTGTACATCCCGCGAAGCGCTGATACTCACGCTAGAGAACGCATATCCACACGTCTAGTCAAGTCCAGTACATCAACGATGGCATTATTGGCCCCTTCTCCGCGGTCTAGACACCACTGTTAGCATGTAATCCTCCCACCCAGCACAGCCCAGCATTGTATGAACATACACATAGTCATCGTATGCGCCGAATCACCCATCAGCACAACCCTGGGATGTGAGCGATTCTGCAGCGGTCGGAACATCCAGTCCGCGATGCGGATTGACCGTGCCTCTGTGTCCTCGGGTAACCCGTAGACCAGGGTCCTGAATGGCTCCGCCCAGTTCGAGGCCAAAGATTTCATCAGCGCGATTCGCTCCCTGTTGTCGCTGGGGACTGCGATGTCTTTGGAATCTGCCCATGATATTATGATCTGGCATTCATATTTGTCCTTGCTGCTTTCTGCGAAGTTGTTGGGGTTGTCGAGGACTAATTGAAGAATTATAAGTTAGCTGTTGTGCACATGTTGGTATGTGATAGGAGGGCGGTATATGCATACTGCTGAAGAACAGGAAGACGTTGGATTCAGGATGCGAGCCCTGAAAAATGAACGGATCAATATCTGCGGCGCCGGCCATCTCATCTGCTGTATATAGAGTAGCTGCGCCGAGGATCTGCACCGGTAGTGGATTCATCTCATGGCTGTCCGGGTACAAGATCTCGCGGGTGGGGGATCGCGATCCATCGCAGCCGATCAAGAGGCATCCTGTGTAGGAGGTGCCGTCTGCGAAATGCGCGGTGACGGTGTCGGCGGAGGACTCAATGTTCTGGAGGGTTTTGTTCCACTACAGTTCTGGTCAGAGGGCCTGAAAGTGAAGGATAATTTCATTCCATCCCATCTTACTAGGCAGTCAAAAAGGGTCTTACCTGAACATCAAGCCCCGTGGCCACCAGCTGCCTCAGTCGAACGCGACTGACCCGAATTCGCTCTGCAGCGGGGACACTGTACAACGCTGATCCTGTTTTGAGATCGAAGAACGAAAAGCGACCGGTGTCACCGCGGGCAGCGGCCGCCTTGTTAACATATGCCTCTGGGAGGCGTTGCACAAGGTCTTCCGGGAGGAGTTCCCGCAGTGCAGGGAGTGCCCAATGGAGCGTCAACCCCCAACCCCCGCTTCGTGCATCAATAGCGGCATCGCGCTCGAAGATCTTGTAAGGGACACCGATTTTCTGGAGGTGCTGGGCCAGAAGGAGGCCACTGATGCCTGCACCGACGATGAGAACGGGAAGATCAGCCATGATGGGGGCAGCGAAGAGGCACGGATGTTCGGTTCCACGGGAACACGGGTTCATCCCCTGACCCTTTTACCTGAAGGCGCATCGCTGTAATACTGCTGTAATCAAGGGCCGGTTGGAGTCGGACGGTGACTTATGTGGGAGGTGCGCAGGAATTGGATTGGTGGAACCGTTATCGTATGGAAATGTGCCAATGGGAAGAGAACGTGAGGCATTGTTGGGATGGGGTCAGGCCGGCAAAACCATACTAGTTGGCTGGCCTTAGGGCTTGCTGGTGCTAAGGCTCGTGTTTGTCTCTGAATAATTTATGCTTGTCCTTTACAGTTAGATTAGGGGAGGTGCTTGATGAGATTGATGCCCATTCACTGATCACCAAGGGTTGCTTCTGGAAAGTATCATATCCTTGAATATGCAAGGAGTCAGAGACTCGTTTCTGCGCTGCTGAGGACAACGAACAATGTTGGTAAAGTTGACGACCAGTAGCTGGGATATAGCACGCCATTAGGCAATGAAAACCTTTGCCAACCTTAATTTAATCATAATTAAATCGTAATAACGACGCAATAAAGTTACATTGGATGTCTCGTGCCAGTCTAATGCGTGAGGTGAAACAAGGCCGGCCCTAAAAGAGCCTTAAAAGCACTAAGAATGTTAGGCCGGCATCGCGTGGGGGACGGCGTCGTGCTTGAGACCTTAGCGCCGGTCTCTAGCCCTACCACCGTGGTCCCTTCTCCGGTGTCAATCTGTCACAGTCCGTCCGCAGTGGATCATATTCCATTCTGATAGTGCTGTCAACTCACTAGTAGCTAAATAGCACACCGGCCAGACACTAATGTCCAGTTACTGGTTCGACTAGGCGGCCAGATTATCCGTCTCTCACCAACAGGCCAGCTGGCGTGTGCGGAACACAGCTCGGTGGCCGCCCGGGGATGACTTCCCGAGTGGACCACCATTAAGGTTTCACGGGACGCACAGGATTCCTCCTGGATGGATCTGGGCTTCATGGCCGGGAAGATCCCGTCGGGGGCGGTTGGTCTGGCCTGTTCTGCTCGACTCCATTGGCTTGTCTCTGTTACATCGGCCCAATATGATCCCGCTCTGGTTTGATCCTGAGAAGCGTAAGCACTATTAATTCCGTCGTGCTAAGCACCTACTAAGATTCCTGCATTGCACTATTCAGGAATCGCCGGAAAGTTGCGCTTGATAGGACAGAAGAAGAGGAAGACCCAGTGAGTGATTAATATACACAACGAAAGTTTAAGAGATTGGTTTCAAGGAATGGCGCCATCAGTCGACGGCAAGAGTATGGGCATCACTCTCTGGCCTCTGTTGTTGGCCTCTTCTCTAGCGAAACACGCAGCTCCACCGTCATATGAATGCCTCCCTCGTCGATGCCCCCACTTTCGAGGATAAGCTCTTCGCTGGGCGTGCGTTTGGGTTGCGGCGCCGCCGAAGTTGTCGACCGTAACTGCGAGCGCGGATCTTTGGACCAGGTCTGCAAAGCATAACTCCGGCTATCGTACCCTTTTCGACCACTGTACGATCGGAAATCGCGCACCGCACCTTTCAGCAGAGGGGCGAGAAAGGGAACACAAGTTACAATGTTCTAATCCATTTTGTCAGTGGCTCGGTGCATCATCCTGTTCTCTCTCTCGTGGAAACTCACCCCGACGTTGAACTCAATTGTGCCCCACAGCACCAACATGGTCGAGTTTCCATCGCCATAAGCCACCCGATGAATTTGTGTGAGGCGGAGGATCGAGCAGATCGTGGTGAACAGCCCCAACAGAAACAGACAAACCACTCCTGCTTTTTGTGCTGTCTTGATGTTCAGTTGGAGCAATAACGGAATGGGAAGGATAATGATGGTGATGTCGCAGATGATGGTGAAGATGGCTAAGCCATAAAATGTTGGCCCTGCTGGCAGACAGGATCCTGAGATATTCGGATTCCAGGCGCGCTCAACCTTTCGATCGCCTTATCAGCAATCTAGCCCTGAGACTGGGAAGAATTATCTCTCACCGGCTGGCAGTCGAATATCAGAACCAAGGTTCCCGCAAGATGACCAAGTGTCGAGATGGTTATTACGGCCCATATAAGGATTCGGTAGTAATTCTTGGACGTTCCGGAAATCAATCGCAGATAGTTGAGGCAAAGGGAAGCTTTAAATCCAGCAATTCCGAGTTGATAGAATGGGCGACCGGCATAATTGAGCTGTTGGTGTCTATCAATACTCTGTCTCAATCGGAATAGGCATATCGCATACCTTTGTGTAGTCTGGAAGGTCTGCCTTGGGGCGCAGCGACAAGGGCAATCCAAGACCATATCTGCTTTCTATTGATTCTTAGCAGTTGTTGTGTACTGAAAGCTTGTTCGACTCACGAGCGATGCACAGTGCGCTGTATATGATACTGAAGGCCTGGCACTAATTAGCGGTCGGATCGTCTACCACCAAAGGCAACCCACCATAGTCACCAGCATCACAAAGTCGGACGCTTCCAATCGGCGGGCATTAAATCGAATTGCTAAGCGCAGGCAGACTGTGATAACCATCAACAAGGTCAAGCCCAGGCATACCCCTAAAATCAGGCGGTATTCCGACTCAGCCTCCACTTCAGGCGAGGCATGGTGCACCCAGCCCATACTGGCAGTAAAAGTAGAAAACCAAGAAGAAAGAGAGAGGAGGCATGAGGAAGAGAGGATATTTGCGTAGTGATTATGCAAGTCGTGATGTGCGCTGGCTGGAGGGAGATTTTCGATCCTGGGCATCGCAGGATCATGCTGAAGCCCTACAACAAGGGGTAAAATATTGTCCTTAGAGCTGAAGGAGGGTTCGGAATCATGATCCTTCAGCCATTAACTTCGGTCATGCCGAGAAAACCGTACTCAATGATATGAATCCTGGTGGGTTCGCAATCAAAATCCTTCGGCGACCAGAACAATCCGGGTTGAATCGCGCGCACTAAAATCTCGAGCCCTGGTCTAGCGTAGACTTTAGAGCATCTGCAAACTTCTGTAAGATGAAGTGGCCAGGCAGTTATCTTGACAAATATATTATAACGACTGGAACCCAGTGGTATCCCTGCGGCCAATCCGGTTGCACTTCCTGTGGTTTTTTGCCTGCAGGATCCTGCATGTAACCCCCAACCCAGCATTCCTTTCTCTGACTGCTTCTAATTCTTCGATTATTTTCCCGCAACGCCCCCTGTCTTTTCTCTTTGCTTTTGTTTCTGTTCTGTCCTTCGGCGACAAGATCATAGATACAACATGGAGGAGAAGTTGCCGGATGCCTTTTCACAGGCTCTGCCTGTAGATCGCACCGACGATGCTGTGGAATATCTTCAGGGCCATGCGGCCGGCCCCGACAGCTCTCAGATCGATCTGCGGGCTTTGCGCCGAAAGATTGACTGGCATCTGATACCTTTTATGTTCTGCTGCTATGTGCTGCAATTTTTGGACAAGGTCATGCTTAACGTAAGTCGTCGCAAGCTTTCCGCCAACACACCCCTCATTGACGCAAGGGGGAACACAGTATGCTGCCGTCATGGGAATGAAAACAGAACTGCACCTCGCCGGGAATGAGTACACCAACACCGCAACGTGGTTCTTCCTGGCCTATCTGATCGCCGAGGCTCCTAATAGTAAGTCATGTACCTAAATACCTCAACAAATATGAATACCGTGCTGATATCTATTCACTATCAGTCTACTGCCTCCAGAAAGTTCCCGCCGCCAAGTGGCTTGGTGCGAATGTCGCTCTCTGGGGAGTTGCTGCTGCAGCATCCGCAGGCGCCAAAAACTATGCGACCCTCCTCACTGCCCGTGTCTTCTTGGGTATCTTCGAGGCCACAATCGGACCGTCTCTGATGCTCATCAGCAGTCAGTACTATACAAAAAGCGAGCAGGCACCTCGCTTCACCTTATGGTATAACGGCTTGGGAGTAGCGCAGATTATTGGTGGTCTGGTATCCTTTGGCTTTCAGCATGTTCACCACGGGGCCACCCTTGCCGGATGGCGCATCATGTTCCTGGTCATTGGTTTGGCCACTGTGCTGATTGGCGTTCTCACTCTGCTTCTCATTCCCGATACCCCGATGAAGGCCAAGTGGCTGTCTGAGGAAGAAAAGGTGGCTCTCCTGCAGCACGTCAGTGTCAACCAGACGGGAGTGTGGAGTAGCACTATCAACCTTAAGCAAATCTGGGAAGCTGTGCTTGACATTCAGCTCTGGCTGTTGGTCTTGATCACCATACTTGTAGGAATGATCCTATTCCATTTTGCTCTTTACTTCAAGCTAATCTCGTTCCAGATCTCTGTTTCTAGCGGTGTCGTAACCACCTACTCCGCCACTCTCATCTCCGGATTTGGATACTCCGGTCCCATCTCCGCCCTTCTCAACATGCCCTCCGGCATCGTCAGTATCTTTTTCACCCTCCTGGTTGGCTTTGGTATTCGCAGGACCTCCCACCGCTGGGCATGGAACGCCTTCTGCACCATTCCCGGCATTATCGGCGGTGGCCTCCTCTCTTTCCTTCCCAAAAGCAACAAGGCCGGTGTTCTCATCGGTATCTACCTGGTTAATGCCATTGTTGCCACTCTTCCCATCCTGTACCAGTGGACCATGGCCAACTGTGCCGGTCATACGAAGCGTGCTTTCAGCAGTGCTCTGATCGCCGGTTCCTTCTCGGTCGGAAACATCATCGGGCCTCAAACCTTCCAGGCCCGCGACGCCCCTGAATACCGTCCCGCGAAAATTGCGGTGCTGGCCACCCAGGCAGCGGCAGCTGTCATGTCTGTCGTGCTGTTCGCATATTATGTGTGGGAGAACCGGAGACGGGATAGCCGGTATGGTAAGGTGGAGGATTCGATGGTGGATGAGGCCAAGTGGGCTGGTCTGACTGATAAGGAGAATACGAGATTCCGGTATGTGTATTAGAGAGAGGAAGATGCGAACTTTAAGAAGAATTATATAGCAGCCAGTAAAGGCTCTGATTAGGTCTCGGTTGCCTGATGTGTGCTGTCCTTGCATTTCTCTCAGTGCAATTGTATAACACTGCGTAATTATAGCATTATTCTCTTCTTGTAAATTTTCAGGAGGATCACGCTCAAATATTCTCTCCCCATAACTCATTCACGATAGTGAGCACTTAGCTCTCAGAAAGTTCAGGTCGAAATGTCCACATACGTTATGCACATTACAATTTATACTGCTTATGTCATCTACGCAATTCTTCTACCCTTTCTGGATGGCTGATGGATCTCGCGCTCCACCGACCCGTCAACAACACGATCTATCTAGATATAGTAGCTTAACCACGATTATCCCCATGGCAGGCCGCATCACCAAATGCGCTCGTTATCTGCGAATACCACACGCCGAGTTACACATCCCTTGTCATCCTAGTGTACCTACCCCAACACCACATCTCCGTATCATCACACGCGCGTCCTATCAAACAATCCGCTACTCTTCTCAATCGATATCCTCCTTGAGAGTATTCCCCACTACAAACCTCCTTATTGATCCTAGTATAGAGATTGAGGAAGAAACTCTCCCCACATACCGGCCAGAAAAGTACTACCCCGTGCAGCAGGGCGAAGTGTTGAATAACAGGTACCAAGTACTGGCCAAGTTGGGTTATGGTGTGACTTCGACAGTATGGTTAAGTCGCGACCTGCAGTACGTCAGATAACCCCCTCTTCATTTAGCTTATCCCTGACAGTATGTTATTGAAGTGACTCGAAATACGTTGCTCTCAAGATCTATGTCACTGGTCAGAAAAAGAACCATGAGCTGGAGATCTACAACCGCATAAATGCTGTAGAAGTTGAGCATCCAGGAAGCGATCTCGTTCGCAGGCTCTTCGATCATTTCACCATCACCGGGCCCCACGGCCCTCATGTTTGTCTCGTTCATGAACCCATGGGTATGAGTGCAGATACACTCCTGCAAAAATACATCCCTGGAAACGCTATGACTCTTAAGGAGATGAAGTCTTGTATCAGGCAGCTATTGATCGCTCTGGATTTTCTGCACTCGTTTGCTCATATTGTGCACACTGGTAAGACGAAACCCTACTTGTACAATCTGAACTGTTGAACTAATCCAAGGGAAAGATCTTCAGTTGAAGAATTTGCTCCTTCCCATCCGTGATTCTAAGACACTGGAGAATCTCGAAGAACGGGAGGCCAATGATCCATCACCTAGGAAGGTGCTCAAAGACAGAACTATCTACCTAACTACTGTCTATAACCCCGGGGGAGACGGGCTTCCCCTACTCTGTGATTTGGGCGAAGCCCGCTTTGGTGATGTTGAAAACAGCGACGACATTATGCCGAATATGTACAGAGCGCCTGAAGTTGTTTTGAAAGAGAGCTGGGACTACAAGGTCGATATATGGAATGTTGCTATGGTGGTAATATACCCCCTCGGAATGATTCTATACCCTATCTCTATGCTATATTTTTTATTATAGGCATGGGACATCGTAAGTCCTCGTCACATGTTCGACGGCAGAAACGCAGATGGCATCTTCGATGACCGAGTACACCTTGCGGAGATGATAGCGCTCATGGGACCTCCTCCGGCTAGCTTCCGCGAGCGGTGCAAATTGGCTTATGTTTTCTGGGATGAACAGGGTAAGACCAAATACCTTTTCAACTCAAGTCCAACCTAACTAGACATCTCTAGGCAATTGGAAGGACTTGGCGCCGATTCCGGATATCTCTCTGGAAAGTTTAGGTGCCGACATTCCAGGGGAGAATAAAGAGGGGTTCTTCCGGTGGCTGAGAAAGGCCTTGCAGTGGAATGCAGAGGATCGACCGACTGCGACAGAGTTCTTGTTCGATGAGTGGCTGATGGAGGGGCTCAGACGGCCGAACACCGAAGAGACGAAGTCATAAGGCGGGCGCATCTGCTTGTTGGTGATTGGTAAATGACATCTCCTTGCTTACAGCTGCATGGATGGGACATACCTATATAGATACTACTGTAACATTATATCCGATGGCCTTAACTGGCCTTGAACGAAATATACTCTCTACTCAGCCAATATACAACAGCCCTAGCCACCAGCGTCTCAGCCCACCCACCACGAAATCATCTCCTGCCAACACCTCCTCTTAATCTTGCATATTCCCCAAATCCTCCGCATTACTCTTCTCCCAAGGATACCTCTCCTCCAACGACCGAAGCAACTCCAAATGCTTCGCACTCCTCGGCCGAATAGACACATTAAACGGCGCTGGGTGACTGATGACTCCCGGGAGAAACTCCGGCTGAATATCCTCAACTTTCCCATCCTTCACTGGCTTTGAGATCTCAAAGACAGCGAGGGCTTGGGCGATGGTGAAATACACATTTACGTCAGCTAGAGTCTTTCCCGGACAGACACGACGACCGAATCCGAACACAAGGAAGTGGGGATCTCGCTCCGGTTTTGAGCCTAGGAATCGTTCGGGTTTGAATGTCATGGGGTCGTGGTATGCTGTTGGGTCGTGTGTGAAACCCCTGTATGCGTTGCAATGATGTTAGTTGGTGGTGAGACTTCTATGCATCAGAGAGGGAGTAGAGGGAAGAACTGACCATATATTGGCGAGGATTGACGATCCCTTGGGGATGAAGTATCCCTCGCAGACATCATCCTCGGTCGAGGCGTGGGCGACGCTCATAGGTACGACTGGATGCCATCGGAGCGTCTCTTTGACTAACGCGTTGATGTAAGGTAGTTGTTCCCGGTCTTTGTACTGCGGCAGGCGGTCTGTTCCGATTACGGTGTCGATTTCTTGTTGTGCCTTGCGCTGCGCTTCAGGGAAGAGAGCCATTGCGAGGAAGAAGCTGGCTATGGAGGAGACGGTCTGTTGATTGAATAGTAAGTACGGCATTGGATCGGGAGCAAGCAGGATTGGGGGGGGGGGGCGGTCCTTACCGTATCAGCTCCCCCGGCGTAGAGCGATCCAGCAGACCACTTGACAGTATTCTCTTCTTCGGATCCGGGATCAAAAGCACTGCTCTCGAGGAGGTTGGAGAGAAAAGACGGTACGAAGCGGCCAGTTCGCATCTGTTCCTTCACGAATGCGTAAGGGATATCGCTGAATGCCGTGACATTCTTTCGATAGTGTTGTGCGATCTTCATGAACTCTGTACCTGGGAACCAGGTCGGGAGATATTTCACTGATTAACTAGTCAGTCTGGTTTGTTCCTGTATCGCTGCGGGCTATGGCTTACGGGGTGGGAAAAAGTCCACTGCCCATGTGGCTGGAAGCATGGCCATCGAGAAATCCTCCATTGCCTTGTCGGCCAGATCAACCAATGGGTCTTGATCATGAGGTTCGATGGTATATCCGTATCCTACTTTTAGGATGATGGCGCCCGCCTCTCTGGTGGTTTTAGTTCAGTATTAGTGGTGGAAAACAATGCATGGTAAGGGGTAACCCACTTGCGTATATGCTGCATCAACTTTTCCGGCGCATCCAGTACCCTCAGCAGAAACCGACCCACCTCCGCTATCTGGATCTCATTGAATCGAGCGACCGAATTGTTGGATCCGATCTCCCTATGCAGGTTCTTGCGCGTTGCTCGGATGCGCTGAGGCTGCTTCACCGCTCCGAGGATATTGTTCCAGCCCGCCCTGTACAATCCGTCAATTGATCTGCAATATCATAAGGTAGGTCTTGTGGTCTCACATCTCTGCGAAGTGTTGCTGTGGACGCGAGGAGTGGATCGACGATCGTGACTCGAGTAGTTCCACCGCTAGTCGGGCATCGTTCAAGACGATGATGGTTTGGCCCATGATGCTGAGGGAACTGATTGGGCCTGTTGGCAGTCAGGCATGCAGCCCTTCGCTTCAGGGTTACTTGGGTGCTTGATCGTACCATAGCGATCCTTGTGTTTCAGCCAGTGCTGCCAATCTTTCTGGTTTGGATCGGGCAAATCCCAGAGATTACCCACGATAGGCCTTCGTCGAGGACCGGGTGGTAGAGGCGGATGCTTGCTCTTGCGAGTCAAGAATGAGATGAAGATGTATACGCTCGTAAGGGCGACTAATGCGCCCGTCCACAACGTTACTGGCATGGTGGCGATAGGGAGATCGAACGTAATAGCATCGAGGACAGTGTGCTAGCTGAGCGAAATCCCGACTGTTTTATATGGTAGGGTAGCTGAAGGAGGGGTCGTGCCGTTGCTGCATAATTAATCTAATTTTTATTGGCTTTTGCGCTATCGCCTCCCTCTTCGATCAGAGATGCTGCAGGGATGGTGCATTAGCTCAACTGCTCAGCTCTCGGGTATGCATTGTGGTTGGTGTGACCTGGACAAGCGGCCTCCGATCAAGGTTGCAGAACGCCATCGTGTTGCTGCTACGGTCGCTTCTGCAATTTGAAGCGTGAGATCTTGTGATTGCCCGGTGTTTCTTGGTGGCTGAGTCTTGTCGCAGGATTTTTTGTCGCTGATGCTTACCTGCTTCCCCGCAGTTGTAAGGATATCTGGCTGGACAGGTTCAGGTTTTCGTAAGACTTTTGCACGTAACTGAGGAACTTCGGTTCTCTCAAGTACACTTAGATTACATTAGGTATGAAATTAAGTACCTTTTCATCGTATCATATATGTTGAAACTAGATCACATCTTGGTCAAGTCGCCGTCTCTCCTCATATTTGGGGGGAGAGTATCTCTATTTGATGATCGACTAGGGTTAGGCAATACTTTGGATAACCAAATTGAGCAAACCACTCAGTACACGTCCGAGGAATATATTTCCGAAGTTGACTTGTCTACCTGAACAATGCCATTCATCATGAACAACGTTCAGCCGTCCCTCAACAATTGGTAAAAACTACGCTAGACATCCACTTTCTACTTAAGCATATGATACTAAGAAGTCTATGACCACCAGCCGCCCTCCATAGGGTTCTGGACACCCCGACAAGCTCTCCCCTCGATCCACTTTGTGGCATGGCCTATATTATATAGCGAATGTAGACCCCTGTCTTTCAATAAATGGGGCTGTGGTTTAGTGGTATAATATTCCCTTAGCATGGGAGAGGTCCGGGGTTCGATTCCCCGCAGCTCCATTTTTTGTGATTTTTGGTTGTTGTTCTATTTTGCCAATGTAGTTAGTATCCACTCCTCCCGAGATGGAGACTGAGATTGGCACTATCCGAGACTCACCTCTGTCACCATGTAGACATGCTACTCCTTCACATTACTCACCCAGTTATCATGGCTCTTAAAATGTATGCCGCAATTGTCTGTCCAAGTAACTCATACCAGTATGTGCTCAGTTATCCGGAGTGAATCATGCAATGTTAGCCTGCCTGTAGCCTGATATAGTAGTCAATCTGTGAAAACGCCACAACAACAACGTTCAATCCCGAAGGTCATTTGCCATTCCACGTCATTCAGCCCTAAGCTAGTGCAAAGGTCCCACATCTAGCCTTCTCAAATACCACGACAATATATAGTATTTATATATAGAATCTGATCATGCCTTTCTGGGTCGACATGCAAAACTCCCCGCATCATTCACATCCCCATGCCCATCATACACAAGTGTCGCCGGATACCGACACAACTCCCTTGTCACCTCCGTCCCATCCGCCCTGACAGTCGCCGCACTTAACCGATCAGGAGGACTTCCCTCCTCCACCCAGCGCACCAATGCGCCCAACGGATCAACTGGGTTCGGCCCATACCCGGCCGAGCAGTGTCCCAGCCCAGGGGCAAGGAACACTCGATAGAACTCATCCGCATCTCCACCGTTCTTCCTATCAACCCTATCCCAAAATGCATTCGTCCACGACGCTGGGATCAGCTCATCCGCCAACCCATGCCAGGTCAACAGCTTCCCCCCTGCGCGACGGAAATCAGAGAGAGTGAAATCATCCGAGCCGAAAATGCCGTTGTAGGCGTCCAGCGTGAGACGGTAGACGGTGTCAAAGTCATCGAGATTCATATCGAAGACATTGTAGCTCGGGTCCCGAAAGACAAAGTTCTTGATCCAGCCGATGATGGGAAAGAAGGGGACGGGTCTGACGATCGATCCGTTGATTACTTCGGTGTTTGCCGTTCCACGGAATGAGGCGCCCGGTGGGAGTCCTGTCCAGAGGTTTGGGTGATCTGGGAGTTTGGGACCTTGCAGGATTTGCTTGACGAGGGTGACGTGCTGGTCTGTGATGGTCAGTGGAGAGTCTGAGGCCATCTCCGGACATGGTACCATTTGGCCGACGAGTGTTTCGGGATCGAATGGGCAGCTCTGTGGGTTGTAATCTGATATCAACCCATCCGTGGCTCCATCGAGTGGATCACATTTGTCGATGATTGCTTTTAGGAATGTGTCAAAGACGCACTGCGGCGGCGCTGCGGACTGGAACATATGCATCGCCGGCCAGGACATATATCCGATTAAACGTGGGAAATTGAGGGCCGGTGCACCGGCGAGAATTCCGTCAAAGAGACTCGGATACTTTGCTGCGGCAAAGTATCCCTGTCTGCCGCCGGTAGAGCAGCCGGTCCAGTAGGAGTACTTTGGCGGAGATCCGTAGAAGCGCTCGGTAAGGGTCTTCCCTATTATAGTCATGTCATAGATGGAGCGATGGGCGAAGTTCTCTAGCAGAGCGGTGTTGATGGAACCGTCGGAGCGTAGAGCCCAGGCCCCCGTCTGGGGATTACTGGTTCCATTTAAGGTGAGACCGCCATCAGTTGCAGCTGTTGCGTAGCCCTGGCTGACTGGGCGAGCTGAGGCCAGGCCGATGATGCCGGCTGCGAGGCCGCCGCCACCAGTAGCCTGGAAACGGCCGTTCCAGTTGGCGAGGGGGAGCCAAACGGAGACAGCGACAGTGTCATTTTCACCCGGGTGAGTCAGGGTGAGCGATACGTTGCAGAAGTTGAGATTGTGGATGTCTGCGAGACTGTAT